CTCTCTCTCTCTCTCTCTCTCTCTCTCTCTCTCTCTCTCTCACACACCTGGAAGAGTCTGGCGTCGTTAGTGAGGAACTTGGGCAGGTTGCTGTCCCTTAGCGCCCTGATCAGCACCACGTCCTCCGATTTGTCCGGGTTTTGTCGCTTGAGGGAGCCCGCCATCACCAGCACCGACTTCACGGCTCTCATGCCTGTACAACAGACCAGTCAGTCACCGGCATGTGATAGGAAACAGCAACATTCGTACAGTTCTTTTATTTGTTTTTGAAGTTGCAGTTTTTAAGGCCGATCGAAACAGTTTAGACTATTTGGGAGGAGGGCTTCGACTCTTCTTTTAACCGATGAATACACCAGTCAGGGGCGTGTGATGTGAACAATAGCAGTCATACAGGGGTAGTGGAAAGAAAGCAGATGAGTATAGAGATAACAATATAGCGGAACAGATATAGAGTTGTTACTGAGATAGCAGCTTTGTATGATTGTAATACCATTTTTTAGCACTCTAACTTGTATAATAAAAGGAAAGCTAATTGTGAATGATTAATCTTAAGACATTTGCTTTTTTCAGCTTCATAAGGGATTTTTCCTCAAATGTATACCGTAGGATGATTTTCTCGAACTAATCAAAGAGAGGAAGATAAGGAGACGTGAGCTTGTCTTGCAAAATTAGCTATGACACCTTTAGGCCTATTGCCAACAGAAAGAGGTATTCTTAAGCAACACCTGATGTATCATGGCGATTGTCTATTTATGAATATGATCTTCGTCTGAAAATCACAATTATAGCTTGTGTTATGGTCACTAAGAAGAGCTAGACCAAAGAGGCAGCTCGAGAAGCCGATATAAGGATTGGCCATATATGATCACTAAATTGCCAAAAATATGAAAATACCAACTATCTGACCCCTGTGTCACATGCACGATGGGAAGAGATTCTCACCAAAGTCGTAGTGATCTTGCTGGGAGAGTTGCTCACTGCACAGTTTGTACATCTGAACCATTTTCTTGGCCAGGGTTTTAGACGACTCGAATCCCTCAGAGTAGAGAATCACTTCAGCGATCAGGCCTGTGAATAACAGAGGTAACAGATAGTTATGACTATTTCTTTATTCCAAGCTATTAGAGAATTTAAATCATGTCCTAAGGGATCTAGTCGTTTAACTAATCGCATCTTTTAAAACTGACAGAATCCATGTAAATATCCTGTCGTATTTGATATAATACTCGTCTTGGATACCTTTTATTTTTATGCCTGTGTTCAGCATGACCAAAAGCAGTAAGGTAAAATACTGACAGAATGAACTGGGGCATAAAACGACAAATTGCAAACAGAACCTCTTTTACGAGCACGTTACCTACGGAACCATTTGGCGATTTACGCATTTTGGACACGCTAAAAGTATTGTACACAAACAGCTACACAAAGTATTTTGCAACAACTACGTGACGATACAGTCATACTTGCTATGCTTTTCCCCATGAAAATTAATTTGAAACAACAATTCTTTTATGGGTGTGATATTGAGATTTGGCATACAGCTATTGAACCTCTTAGTATGTGTTGGCAAAAGAGCACACAGTCACGCAGGTGGCACCAATGAGATTACACTGCTTCCATTCAGTATTCAGTGTTTCCATCCACAGCCAACTGATCACAAACTAAATATGGATTGTTTCTACACTTTCCCCATTTTGGAAATACCCACTTTTAATTTTGTCCAAAAGCTTTTTATTGCCAGCTTCCAGTTCAGATATACTAAGCTCAAAATTTGAATTTATTTTTCATATTGTGGCCTCTTAATCTGTGGTATCATTGTATGTGCTCGAGACATACTTTGTTCATATTCACTTTCTGAATCTCGATAAAGAAAAAAAAAAAGAAACGACAGACCAAAAACAGATGCACAATTTATGTACAACTTCAAACTGAATGAAAAAGTTGTTTCTCTCTCTCTCTCTCTCGAAGAAC